ATTTTTTGGTACATAATATACTTTATTTAAAGCATTATCAATTCTTTTCATTAACTCATCTTGTGTATATAGAGGATAATGTGTGCTGACGTTCACTACAACTGGGGGCTGAACGCTGAAATCTCTCACAGCTTGCAATAATGTGAATACTATGATAGGTACTAAAGCTTGTAAGAAAATCGTCATACGCCAATGCCTTTTGCGTATTATCATATTTTTATACATCAACAAGCCAAAAATTTTCCATCCGCTAGCCATTTTTATATCTTGATATATTTCAACTTTATTTCAAATGTGAAAAATGTTTATTAGCGGGCTGTATTCAAATATCTACAAATAGTGTATACACTACTTTGCCATTGAAAGTACACGAAGGCTCTTGAATAAATTATTGGAATTATTGACGTGTTGGCTTCAACTTAAGGCATATATCTCATATATGAACTATACTGCGTTGATCATTAAAATGTGGAAATCTATATTTATAATGTAGTAGTTTTTGCGATATCACATAAAGAAATGTAATTTATTGTTTCTTCTTTATATATTAAGTCCAGTGTTTCTGGGATACTTGTTGTCATAACAAATTTTACCTAAACATCATAACCAATCATGAGTCATAGTATGAGTCTCAAGTAAAAATATAGAACATACATAATATTCAAAAGGTCATGATATTATTCATGACTTTAATAATTACTATAATAATTTAAATTTCAATCTAACTTTAATAATTATCAATAATATAACAAAGATTATTCGGCAGTTTTTAAATTAGATAAAATCAAACAGTTGGATATCATATCAAATACTGAAAACTATGTAAGAAAATATGCAAAGAATTTCCATAAAACATGAATTTATGACCGATAAGATAAATGACAAAAGCCTACAATCTCTCTCTTAAAAATTCGTCTGTCAAATTTACATGAGACTTCACTGTGTTCATTTAAACATGACAAGAACAGAAACATATTTCCGAATTATATATTTAATTTGTTAAAATTTTCAACTTACTTGCGTATGCCAACTGTACATTGCTAGACGTTGCATCAAAATGAACTTGCAATTTAGATAACACATGGGAATCGATACTCGCTCGTTTGTTCAATTTCCACGTCCTTATCATTAGGAATGCAAAAAAAAAAGACATAATGGGAGCTATTATATGTACGATAACGATTTGACAACTGTATGCAATATGGCAATAAACATATACTCACGAGAACTGTCACATTTCGCACCAGTTTTCCGGAGACATTCAATAGCGAAGTTGTACGCCTTATAAAGCTTCATCTTATCACGTTATCAAAGACAATGATAATTTTGCGACGCGTTATATTTAAACATTTAATTACAACGCGTCGCATAGCATCAATAGCGTACGCCAGCACTCAACGTCATACCAGGAAATGCCTCGTCAATTACTCGACGCTCACTGTTGAATTGCTATGACAAAAATGCGGGTGCGATAACGTATCATATAGAGGGGAAACTGTACGTAATAGAATATATTGTTACATTCAATGTAGTTGCAAGTACTGAAGATCTATAGTACATGTAACGTGAACTATAGATTTTCCATAGTTCTACACTCGCAGTAAATAACGGGACGTACCCACAGCCTTGCATGGCCTTTAATTCCTACGTATGCCATATGGTCGATGAAATACTATTAAATACTTCCCATTTATACCCGTTTCTGCTAATGTAGTTTAAATAATTTCTAGTTTCTGAAAAAATTAGGAAAAGATGGAGAATAAATTGGACTGTAAATTAATAATCTACATTGATAGAAACGAACATTACTAGGTGCCCTCCATTTAAGACCTTTGTGAAGGTTCAGGTCTGTTTTCTGTGGCTGAACTGGTGTACACTTTTGGAACTTAAAATGAGATAGATACACGTTTAATATTTGGTGAAAGCGAGAAAGAGAGTGCAGTCTAGTGCAGGAATAAAGAGACCTTCAGTGACATAAGTTGACACAAATGTCATTCTATCTTTTTTTTGCATTCTATGAGTAACAAAGACAGAATGATATTTGTGTGCCCGGCAAACGAGAATGGATTGAAATGGACTCAGATTTTCAGAAATATTGATTCACAAATGTTAAGATGAATGCTTTTCAATCCTGAATGCATTTTTATTCATTTATAGGAATTTCATGGAGCATATCTCTACGCCTTTCATTCTAAAAATAATATTAGCTTTTTCTGTGCATTTGTGAATACCGTTCATTTCAAAATTTTGAATAGGAAATGCAGTTTTTCAATCCAATTGCATCCAATTGAATCTAATTGAGTCCAATTAAATACAAAAAAAAGTATTCTATTTAAAATACGCTATTTAAAATATGCATTCGGATAGAAAAAAAATTGCAATCCATTTTATTCTATTCTCGTTTACTGGGTGAATGGGAGGCATCTAGTATATATAACACAATTTGACACAAACATCATTTTATCTTTTCTTGGCATTCCGATGAGTAATAAAGTCTGTATTTCTACTTAGCGCTTGCGACGTTCACAGAATCATCCTTGTTGTTTATTAAATATTAAGCAAAGACAAATAATGAGCGTCAATTGAAGCGCACTGAAAGATATAATAGATAAAAGATAGAATGGCGTTACTTGTTGATTTATAACATCAAATGGAAAGCACATGTTAAAAATCGTCAACCCTACATAAATTTGTGTAACTACCGAAAGTACCCCGAAAGCCCGGTGGTAATTGAAAAACGCTAATATTAGGTCTTTTTTTGCTGCATTTTTTTAATTAGTACACAGTGCAATAAGATGAAGTGAAACAAATGTATATTTGTTTCACTTTAACTTATTGTACCGATTCAGAGTGCAGCAATAAAAGACCTTTTATTGGCTGCGTTCTGTTGCGTATAATGAGCATAAGATATCATTTTATCATTGTTCGCAGAGTGTTAAACAGGGATAAAACGATAATACATCCCAGAGACATGCATGTCTGATGAAAGACGTCCAAAAAACGTCTTGAACTAGACGTCTTTAAGACTTTTCCAAAAGACGCCTTTTAGATGTCTTTCAAAAGATTTTCGAAAGATGTTAGAAAATTTTGGAGCATATGTAGCAATTTACATTATCAACTGCAAATTTTATTTATGTACATACATATAATATCGAGTGCATGACATGAACAGAATATAATACGTAATCTAGAAAAATATTGGATGTCAATTAATTTGGTATATATTCTAATATTTTGTATTATTTTGTATTATAGTATTCTACAACTATACAATTCTGTCCGGAAACGCGTTGACAAGAGAAAGAATACGAAGCAGCAGTTGGAATTATTGTACCTGATAAATCGGTACATATGAATAATATCATACTTCAATACTTGATACACATTTTCAATAACTATTATCTGTCACAATTATAGAAAGTATCGTTATTGAAAGTATGTATTAAGTATGATAATATTCACATACAAATTTATTAGGTAATTCCAACTTCGTATACTTTCACTTGTCAACGCGTTTCCGTCTCAGTAATTTTTATTTTTATTTTTTGAATAAAATGTCCGAAGCAAGTCTTAAGGATAATGTCTTTATTAGGACGTCATAAATCGACGCATAAGACATCTTAAAGAGCGCGGTCTGATTCATACTGATAACGCTCATGAGCATTACTTGTTTTCGTTTAACATTTGACAAACAAGGATGGAATAATTTTTAAGCATTGACTGCATTCACCAGAAAAAGCAGCTTTGCAACTGTTGTAAAATTCTTTAATATGATATTGGTCTTGTCCTTAATTCCTCATTTGATCTAAATATATAAACCAATAATATTTAAGAATAATATTCTTAAGGCTTCCACGGGTGCTTTCTATATAAAGATTATGCGTTTCGCGGGTTTCCTCCGTGTCCAAGATTCTATCTATTCTTGGAATGCCAACGTTTCATGAACGTCCTTGCAGTCTTCTTCATCAGGTTGAGGAGCAGCTTGGCTATGAGTATACCGTGCATGACATGAACATCCGCGAAACGCATAATCTTTATAATATTCAAGAATTTTACAACAGTTACAAAGCTGTTTTTTACGCTGAACGCAGCCAGTGTGAGCATGAATCGAACCGCGGCCAAAGATGTCATATAGACGTCATCTAATACTTTTTTCATCTACCTGAATATTTTAAATAACAATAACTTTTTTCTTTTTATTCAATTGGATTCAATTGAACTGATAAACTACATTTTCTATTCAGAATTTTGAATTGATTATTCACGAGGAAAAGCTATTACTTTTAAATTGAAAGAGATAGAAATGTGCTCCAGCCAATTCGTATAAATGAATAAAAATACATTCAGAGCAAAAAGGATTTATTTTAATGTTTGCGAATGTATATTTCCAAAAATATGTCTGAATCTATCTCGATCTAATTCGATCCATTTCCATTTTCTTATACATATAAATACTCTTACTTTTGTATTAATTTGACAGAAAGTAATAAAAATATAGTGGAATATTTACAGCTACAAATTGTTTATGACTTGTTTAGAGTATCAAATATATTTCTAACAAATGTTAAACTTAGATTGTGAACGATGTGATATACATATATGTATATCATTATTTTGTATAAAACTGTTTTGCTGGAAATATGTTATTTATGTATATATCACACATATATTCTATATTTTATTTACATAGACACATTACCAAATTAATGTTATTTATTAAATATCTCATATTCTCAGCATTTTATAGTTGTCTTAATTTTTTTCTTTCCGCTATTTGTAAAGATGACGATATTAAGCCGATTAAAGTGCAATCAGCTTCCAGAAAAGTCACATCCGTTTCAGGACCTAAGAACATGCAGGAAAGTTCCAAAACTTTTATCTTAAATCGAACCTTAGAACCTCTCATAATATCTAAAATAAAGAACAAAATAATAATATTTAAGACACTATTCATTGGTATATTTGATACAGCAAATATCATTAAATAAATAAGATATATTCTGGGAAAAAAAAAACAAGTTATAATGGAGGGTAAACCACCAAGTTGCATACACGTGTACAACAAGCACAGGGTGGGATACATCGGTGAGACAATAAATGAAAGATTATATAAAAGATATTATCATTTTATAGGAAATTTAAACATTGCTATACGTATTATTCAGGTGATAGAATTTTAGTTGCTATAAGAAACGAAAAGAAAAAGAGTATATTGGTTGGATTGAAACAGCAACAGGCCCCTAAAGTTCCCAAGTTTGATAGCAACAATCTGGTGATAGAATTTTAGTTGCTATAAGAAACGAAAAGAAAAAGAGTATATTGGTTGGATTGAAACAGCAACAGGCCCCTAAAGTTCCCAAGTTTGATAGCAACAATCTGGTGATAGAATTTTAGTTGCTATAAGAAACGAAAAGAAAAAGAGTATATTGGTTGGATTGAAACAGCAACAGGCCCCTAAAGTTCCCAAGTTTGATAGCAACAATCTGGTGATAGAATTTTAGTTGCTATAAGAAACGAAAAGAAAAAGAGTATATTGGTTGGATTGAAACAGCAACAGGCCCCTAAAGTTCCCAAGTTTGATAGCAACAATCTGGTGATAGAATTTTAGTTGCTATAAGAAACGAAAAGAAAAAGAGTATATTGGTTGGATTGAAACAGCAACAGGCCCCTAAAGTTCCCAAGTTTGATAGCAACAATCTGGTGATAGAATTTTAGTTGCTATAAGAAACGAAAAGAAAAAGAGTATATTGGTTGGATTGAAACAGCAACAGGCCCCTAAAGTTCCCAAGTTTGATAGCAACAATCTGGTACTCATACATGACAACGGCACATCTCTAGGTACAAGAATGCAGTTATCTATTCCACATATACACCGAACGAAAATGGAAGAACTCACAGCAAAGGAGCAGATACTAAACTAATAGCAATTTACATTCAGATTCGTGTAGTGTATTTATCTTGTCTACTATTGTAATATATATATTAAATATTTCATTATAATGTTAATATTGTACTCATTTAGTACAATATTAACACCTCTGTGTATTTTATGGTATATTAATATTTTAATAATGAAATTACCACATGCACTAGGAATATGTTCCACTTAACACATCTTTGCGACATACGCGTCATCATATCATTTCAGCCTTGTTTAATGTTTAATGATAAGAAGGATGAAATAATATCGTATCCTATGTATGTTTGCTGTGATTTTGGTACGTAAATATAGCGTTGGCAAGTGAACTTTAGTTCAATTATCAGCCACGTGATGTCTATCACTTTGTATTTAAGCGATTATTTAAATTAATTGTCGAAGTTATATTATGTCTGTGTTAATTGATTTATGATACTTTAATTAAGATTTTAGCAAATTGCATAATTTTTTTTAATTTTTCTTTAATTATAATCATAATTTTCTTTAATTCTTCGCCTTTAAATAGAATTTATAATCAAAAATGTCTTCATTGAATTCGGAAATCAAATTAGTAATGCTTCAGTTTCCGAAAGCACTTGTTTTCGATATGATTCATATATAAGAATAGAATGTAGATGAATATTTCAGATCCTCTGTAGAGGTAGAGGATCGGTAGTCTGATACTGGTGAACAAAGTACTTCCTGTCCCTAATCTGGTAAGTTAGAACAGGTCAACATGGTTTAATCATCAAAATTCAATAGTTATTTAAATACAGGCTCAGATACAGAATAATACAAATCTGTTTCAGCATAGTAGGTTTGGTAGTAGAGCAGGCTAGTCTACAAAAAAAAGTCTGAAAAAATAGACTTCTCTTAAAAAACAGACTTGGATATTCCATGAATGTTGTCCAGTCTACAAAAAAAAAAGGGGGGAGGAAAAAAAAAGGCGGAGAAAAGAAAGAGCTAGAACAGTACAAAATACTTATTTAATTAATCTAGTTTATAAATTTGTCATATAATACTAATGAATACTTACAAAATAATACTAATAAATAATACTCTAGATAATTAAATAAGACAAAACAAGCAACAATATTGTTATCTCAATTATTTATTATGTTGCGATATTCACTGCCAATATTGAATATTTATATAATATTTCGTATATCACCTATTCTATAGATATTCAGTATGAAGAACTATAGCAGTGAAACAATATGGGCAGCTATTGTACATAAATAAAAATATAAGTAGTATTCTTAATTCTAATTGATAGAATTATTACTTACCAGACTTACCATGTTGAAAATAGCAGTTTGATATCAGTTAACAAGAGCCATTGGACAGGAAGTGCTCAATATGGACAGCTATTCAACCAGTAACGTTGACTACTTTTTTGCGTTCAGCATAATGCAACAGTTTTGCTGTTCAAAGATTTTTATAACTGTCTTGTCTAAACGACCCGAAATACGCTCAACATTTCGCAACACGTTTACTTAACGGTCGCCATGGTCGCCATTATGGCGGAAAGAAGAAAGATGAGTACTCCCATTATTCATGGTAGAGGAAACCATGGAGGAAGCCACCATGATGGAGGAGGTATCACAGTTGATATCTCGATTATTATCACAGTTGGTATTTGCGCAGTGATTGCAGGTAAATACGTGGAATTACCGAAAGATAAAAAGCTTGAAAGTCTTGCGATGTTCGCGAGAGATCAGTTTCTCACTTGGTCGTCGTTTCGTTCTGATCGCGGAAAAAGGTGACGGCTTTTGTTCATGTATGTATACATAATACTGCAGTCAGCAGTGTACAGTGTACTCCGTTATGCGTTTTCCTTTCAACCTTGTTCTCAGTTACGCGAAGAATAACGCACTGCACGTAAACGCTAAAAGGTCGTGAGTCGCAGTGACGTGCCCTCGACAATTTTTCGCGACCCGTTAATTTGTGTCTGAATATGTAATTTTGATAATTATTTATAATACGGACTGCACCTTCGATTTTGATAAAATTGGACTCATTCGGCGCTCGAATGGAAAAATCTGTAAGAAAAAACGTTAGGATCCACGAACCGAGATATTAAGCATTGAAGTTGATGACTATTGAGGTTAGAAAATCTGTCATAGCGACGAGATGCAGCCAAGCAGCGACATGACTATATACGTCTATGCACATAATTGTTGCTAGAATAAGTATTTCTACTTCAATTACACAAATTCTGTTAAAAACAAATTGTCTGCTTTATAAAAACACATTTTATGCTTTAAAAAATACATTATTTTTTATCTAACTTTTATTTTTATAGTAGAAAATTGATTTTTAAAGCAGAGAATTTACTCATAGACAACGGCACAGCTCTAGGTACAAGAATACAAATGCCTATTCCACACAAAGTCCGAACAAAAATGAAAGAAAAGACTTACAGCAAAGGAGCAGATTATACTAAATTAGCGATTGCATCCAGATTCGTGTAGTATATCTTGTCTACTATTGTAATATATATCAAATATTTCAAGAAAATGTTAATATTGTGATTTAGTATTTTCGGCAAAACTTGTAATATTGAAGTGTATCACTCATGCATCTGTGTATTTTATTGTATATTAAAATTATAATAAAACTACTAAAAATTTAAACCTTTTTTTTATATATGCACTAGAAGTGTTTTCAACTTAACGTTCGTAACGCTGGTGTATATCATCTCAGCTTTATTTAATATTTGATGACAAGCAGGATGAAATAATATCGCGTATCTTATGTATGTGTGCTGTGATTTTGATACGTAAATATAGCGTTGGCAAGTGTACCTTTAGTTCAATTATCAGCCACGTGATGTCTATCTTTGTATTTAAGCGATTATGTAAATTAATTGTCAAAGTTATATTATGTCTGTGTTAATTGATTTATGATACTTTAATTAAGATTTTAGCAAATTGCATAACTTTAATTCTTCGCCCTTAAATAGAATTTATTATCAAAATTGTCTTCATTGAATTCAGAAATCAAATTAGTAGCAAATAATCCTTCACTTTCCGAAAGCACTTGTTTTCGATATGATTCGTATATAAGAATAGAATATAGATGAATATTTCGGATCCTCTGTAGAGGTAGAGGATCGATAGTCTGATACTGGTGAACAAAGCGCTTCCTGTTTCTAATCTGGTAAATTAGAACAAGTCTCAACATGGTTTAATCCATCAAAATCTTTATTCAATAGTTATTTCAATACAGGCTCAAATACAAAATAATACAAAACTGTATTTCAGCATAGTAGGGTCTGATAGTAGGGCAGGCCAGTTTGCAAAAGTCTGAAAAAATAGACTTGGATATTCATACAGACCTCATGAATAGTCCAGTCTCCAAAAAAAAAAAAAGGAAAAAAAGTGGCCGGGGGGAGAGAGAAAGAGAAAGAGAGAGAGAGAGAACACAATTCGTAACAGTAAATAAATTAATTAATCGATTAGATATACAAAATGCGGTTATTGAGTTAATCTAGTTTATAAACTTGTATATAATACTAATAAATACTTATAAAATACTTATAAAATAATACTAGTAAATAATATTCTAGATAATTCAGATAATATTATTACTTGTGTTGCGATATTCACTGCCAATACTGAACATCTATAGTAGTACACCATTTATACTATCGATCAGCATTGAATATAGCAGTGAATATGAGAACAAAGTAGATTATGCTAGTGTAAATTAAGCTAATATAAATTAGTATTCTAGTTGATAGAATTATTACTTACCAGACTTACCATGTTGAAAATAACAGTTTGATATCAGTTAACAAGAGCCATTGGACAGGAAGCGCTCAATATGGACTATTCAACCAGTAACGTTGACTACTTTTTTGCGTTCAGCATAATGCAACAGTTTTGCTGTTCAAAAATTTTTATGACTGTCTAATCTAAACAATCCAAAATGCGCTCAACATCTCGCAACAGGTTTACTTAACGGTCGCCATGGTCGCCATCATGGAGGAAAGAAGAAAGATGAGTCACTCCCATTATTCATGATGGAAGAAGCCACTATGATGAAGGAGGTACCACAGTTGGTATCTCGATTATTATCACAGTCGGTATTTGCGCAGCGATTGCAGGTAAATACGTGGAATTACCGAAAGATAAAAAGCTTGAAAGTCTTGCGATGTTCGCGAGAGATCAGTTTCTCACTTGGTCGTCGTTTCGTTCTGACCGCAGAAGAAGGTGACAGCTTTTGTTCATATTTGTACAGTACATAATACTGCAGTCAGCAGTGTACAGTGTACTTCGCTGTGCATTTTCCTTTCGCTCTTATTTTCCGTTACGCGAGGAATAACGCACTGCACGTAAACGGTAAAAGACCGCGAGTCGCAGTGACGTGTTCTCGACAATTTTTCGCGACGCGCTAATTTGTGTCTGAATATGTAATTTTGACAATTATTTAGAATATGGACTGCACCTCCGATTTTTATAAAATTGAACTCATTCGGCGCTCGAATGGAAGAATCTGTAAGAAAAAACGTTAGGATCCGCGAATCGAGATATTAAGCATTGAAGTTGATAACTATTGAGGTTAGAAAATCTACCATAGCGATGAGATGTAGCCAAGCAGCGACACGACTTTACGTCTATGCCTCGCGGTCATGCACATGTAATTATTGCTAGAATAAGTATTTTCTACTTCAATTACACAAATTCTGTTAAAAGCAAATTGTCTGCTTTATAAAAATACATTTTATGCTTTAAAAAATACATATTATTTTCTATTTAACTATTTATTTTTATAGTAGAAAATTTGTTTTTAAAGCAGAGAATTTGTGTTTTTAAAAAAATACTTATTAAAACAAATTATCAGCTGTAAAGATAAAAATTATATAAAAAATAATTTATTTATTCTTAAAGAAGAAAATGTGTTTTTAAAGAAGAGAATTTGTGTAATTTGAGCAGAAAATACTTATTCTGGCCTCAATTACATGTTATGCATGACCACGGCACATAGTCGTGTCGCTATATTTCGTCGCTATGACTGATTTTCTAATCTAAATAGTTGTTGACTTTATCACTTAATATCTCGCTTCACGAGACCGATCTAATGTTTTTTTCTTACAGATTCTTTCGTTTCGAGCAAAAACGCGCCGTATGAGCCTAATTTCATCAAAATCGGAAATACAGTCCGTATTCTAAATAATTATAATAATTTTATATTATTTGATGTTTCAGATTATTCTAAACGGAAATTATAACGATAATGTTGACACCTTTTGCGGTGTTAAATGTTGTAAGCAGAAACATTTCTACTTCAACCCCTGTGAGTCAGATAATTAAATTGAGTAGGCTGAGAGTAGTGGACAACAGCGAGATAGGAAAGCAAGCTATGATGGAGGGTAGACCACCACGTTGCATACACGTTTACAACAAGCGTGGGGTGGGATACATCGGTGAGACAATAAATGAAAGACTATATAAAAGATATTATCATTTTATAGGAAATTTATCTAAACATTGCTATACGTATTATTCAGGTGATAGAATTTTAGTTGCTATAAGAGGCGAAAAGAAAAAGGGTATATTGGTTGGATTGAAACAGCAACAGGCTCCTAAAGTTCCCAAGTTTGATAGCAACAATCTGGTACTCATAGATGACAACGGCACACCTCTAGGTACAAGAATACAAGTGCCTATTCCACACATACTCCGAACGAAAATGAAAGAAAAGACTCACAGCAAAGGAGCAGATTATACTAAACTACTAGCGATTGCATCCAGATTCGTGTAGTATATCTATCTTGTCTACTATTGTAATATATATCAAATATTTCAAGAAAATGTTAATATTGTAATTATTTAGTATTTTCTGCAAAACTTGTAATATGGAAGTGTATCACTCATGCATCTGTGTATTTTATTGTATATTAATATTATAATAAAACTACCACAAATTCAAATTTTTTTTTATATATGCACTAGAAGTATTTTCAACTTAATGTTCGTAATGCTGGTGTATATCATCTCAACTTCGTTTAATGTTTGATGACAAGAAGGATAAAATAATATCGCGCGTCTTATCTATTTGCTATGATTTTGTTTATATAGGTATAGAGATTGTAAGTGTAACTTTAATTCAGTTATCAGCTACGGGGTCTTTATCGCTTTGTATTTAAGAGATTATTTAAATTAATTGTTGAAATTATATTATGCTCACGTTAAGATTTATATTTCTATTAAAAAATTGCATAATTTTAATTTTTTGCCATTAAAATTTATTATCAAATTTGTCTTCATCGCATTCCGAAATCGAATTAGTAATGCAAATAATTTTTCAGTTTCCGCCGTTCCCGATAGCACTTTTTTTCGATACGATTCCTATATAAGAACAGAACATGGATGAGCATTTTGGATCTTCGTGGAGAATCTGATAGTCTGGCGAAGAACGCGCTTTCTGTTCCTAATCTATGTTACAATAAGTAAGCATGATTTAACTATCAAAAATCTTCATTCAATAGTTTATACAAGTTCAGATATAAAATAATACAAAATTAAACTGTTTCAGCATAATAGTCTGGTTTCAAGATGCTTTCACGCATTGATCTCATGAAAAAAAGTTTTCTTGAAAAACAGACTTGGGTGGTATTCATAATCGAATCTTACAGGATAGTTTTAAAGTAAGAATCTTGTATTTGTGTGAGTGGATTGTGATTGAGTGTAATTAAACGATCTCAATCATGTTCGATCTCATTTAGCCTCAATGGCAATTCTGCTTGATCTGTTGCAAGGCAGCACTGGTTCAGTGAGGATCAATGAGTTAAAGGAAACTGAAGAAAATTTCAGGTCTTGCGAAGTTAGTAGCTTTCCTTTAATTCCTTCACCAGAAGCACAAATTTCAAATTTCAAATAATACTGAAGATGGAGACGTGGTAGAAGACGAAGTCTTCTGCAGGTAATGACGACGAGGCACATCAAGTTTCGCAGGAGGAAGAAAACACAACTGCATTTCGTAGAAGCAGTCGTTCAAACCAAAAAGTTGGAAAGACTATTTTACCTACAGTGCGTATATTGAATCAGTAGGAACTGATCCTTCAACTTACGAAAAAGCACGCAACGGTGTGTATTAAAAGAAATGGAATGAAACGATAAAAGATGCTGCTTGATCTATCTCAAATTGCGCAGTAGATAATGATTCAAATGGCTACCCATTCAGAACTCTGCAATAGCAATTACATATATATTAAATATAACTTATTGTATGTACATGGTTTTTGTAGGTATATATTATATCATATTACGTATGTATTGTATCACGTATACGTTTTTTACATGTTATACATATTATATATTCTCAATGTATCATTTACGTCTTAATTTTTTAAATATTAATTATAACACCGACGAGATGCTATTAAAGACCGATATTTTTACGGGAGTTCGCGTCCTTGTGAATATCGTAAATAATTAAGACTTAAAAACTGATAATATTATACTAATTTCATGATTTATTAGTTTAGTAGACGTATTTATGCATTTAGGATTCAATAATACTCGATTTTTCTTTAAAATTGTAATTTCAGTGTTATCGTTAAAGTTTGATTATCAACAGAGATGATAACTGCAGAGAAAAAATTGTAATTTTTCTGCAATATGTAGGATATTATAGCTTTACAAGTATACATATTTATTTATGGAACATTTATGTAATACAAAATCATAAATTTAATAATGTATGAGCCAAATATTTATGTTAATAATAGCAAATTTATATCAATTATCTATAATGTCAGCATTCTTCAATTATGTCCCTCCGGGTCCTTTTTATACCGCCGAAAATTTGCCCAGGTTTGACGATCTTTAGTTTTTAATAGTATCTCGTCGGTGATTATAATAAATGGAAACTGTTTCGGTTATTCCGAAGATAAATAACAAAAATTTTACTTTATTTATTCACACACATAGTCGATAATGTCAGTGTTCTTCAATTACCACCAGGCTCTCAACGGCGCGTTGACGCAGTTACCGAGCAATTCAAATCTTGTCGAGACGCGAGCACGTTAGTGACGGTTTGGATGGGCGAGGATTGCGAGAAGTGTTGACTGTTATTATGAGACGTCGTTGATCATCGTTGACGTGTCGTGCTGTAGCTCGCCTTTCCCACGCGAACAAGAGGAATCGCCGAGGAATGGGAGAGGACGAGGAATCGGATTGTCCGAACAACGCGCGTTTGTTCCGAATCGCCGTCTCCAACAGCCTGAAAAACATTGCCGAGTCTGTTAGGTGAGTGACGTTGGCTAGGTTGGTCGTACAGTTAACAGGACGCGCGCCTTTTCTCTCGATTTCGCGCGCAACTTCGCGCGCTTAACTTAACCTCTTTCTGTTGGCATTCCCGCGTTTTTTCTTCCCGCTAAGAAGTCAATAAGCTGGAGCAAGGAGAAGCTACGTTCTCGTAACTTCTGATAATCTCGCTAGAAGCTTTTTGTTTCTCTAATGCCCGTTTATATCGAATTGACTTTAATCTCATTAGTCAACCTATAAGTTTTTATTCTTTTACAAATTCTTAGAACTAGAGAAAGGTGAAAAATTTATTGAACCGAGATTAAAATTAAACTACATTGATAGAAAATGGACAGAAAAAAATGTAAGAACTTTCTTTATCTTATAAGATCTTTTTTTGGCTCTCGACTGTTATCAGCCTCTTTTTTTTATTCGGCTGTGAAAAAACCCCGTCTCTACGTCTTTAATTTCAATGTCTGGCTATGCAGAAAAATCATCGTGATTCATATGCCCACGCAATAACAGTACCGCTACCGAAAGTATGTCAAGTGCGTCACGTGGTCGCGAAGAGAATCTCTTGGATCCAAACATCTCCGTTTACAGTTTTTCGGATTTTAGATTGCTTCTAATATTCTAATATTTTCTTTTTTTTTTTTAGCAAGAAAAATGTAAGCATGTTAATTAAGAAATAATTTCAGATTCTGTAATTTTATTTTTATTTCAGTGTAAATTCAAAAAATGCAGAAATAATATCTCTCTCTCGAACTTTTTTGTTCTGTAAAATTTCTCTATACACGATATTCGAATCAATGTATACGTGAGAAAAATTTTGTAATTTTAGGTATTCATTTTAAGAATATTCTAAGCCCTTTTTTCATACAACTTCTTGCATGGTTTCATCTATCTTTTCTTTCCACGTTGGAGAAAAAAAAGAAAATGCAAGATCAGCTAAAAAGAATAGATTACCTGTATAATTAAAAGCATACTGAGAGATGTAAACATTATTTTTATACAAATCGGTAATATTTAAAATCCTAAATTATGTTTTAGATAAATAAATAGAAAGACCAATCGAGTAAGACACACTGTCCTCTACGTGTAGTCTAGCGGTCCGCTGTTTGCGAGAAGGCGATTCGTGATTTATTGATGTAGCGAGGCAGAGAGAGAGAGAGAGAGAGAGAGAGAGAGAGAGAGAGAGAGAGAGAGAGAGTCAAGATGGAAAGATCAAGATGATGTGTATGTACTGGTGGAAGGGATCGGCATCGTCAATGACCTAAACGCTACTCGGTGTTACTTGATGTCATTGGCCTCCGCGGTTCGCATGTTAATTCCTGACTCGCCGTGGCCGTTCACGTGGCCATCGTATGTTTCACGTTCGAATTCGAGTCGCAATCATCGTCGGAGTTCTCGATCTTTGCTGAAACGGCGATCCCTTGCGGCATCGCTTCCAGGAAGGCCTTCTTCGTACGGCTCCATCAGTTGACCTTCGAGGAATTCCACGAAGTGTTCGGGGAAACAAAGGCCTCCATGATGACCGGCGCGGGGGCGGTGGTCATTCGTGTGCTGCGTGTCGCGGGAATCGTGCACGCACGCACGAGTGCGTGCTTCATACTCTTCGTAGCAGAGCCAGTTGATTCTTTCATCACTCAAACGCCGCAGGTCGTACATTCGTCTTCGGTATACATATACAGTCGTTATTTCTAAAAGTTTCAACGCTAAAAGTTTTAATACTACAGAATTGTTGAGAAAGATTTTTTGTTTACAAAATTTAATATAGAAACTTCCCAGGTCACAAATTAAAACGAGCTACATTATTAGGTGTATGTATGTGGTAATATTTTATTCACGTTGAAACTTATAGATTGGAATAAACACGTGATATAGCATAGTGTGTAAGTTATACGAGCGTTAAAAGTGATATTAATTATTAATTTTACTTTGTGATATCTATGAAATAATTTAATCTTGTATGTCGGTTGTTGATTCGATTCTGTGTGCGTGATTTAAAGGACAATGTGAATGCGTCAGTAAGTTTGGATGAACGAATGGATTTGGATTCTCACCGTTAGATATCTAAGGAATAATAGTAACTCAATCTCGAATTATAGAATATTTTGTTATTTTTAACTTCGTATGTGTTAAAAATGTCAAAATGTAAATCATCCTATTTCTAATTGAATTGTTTAGTTTCCAGATAAATAACGTGCATATTAACGTGTGCACTCATGTTAGTAAATAATAGATTACATTTTCACTTAATATTATGTAATAAATTAAATTGTAGTCAAATTTAAGGAGGTTCTTGCTATTTTCTAGTTAATTTATTTATAATAATATAAAACATTAAAGCAATGGAATAAAAAGATTACTCAATTTAAAAAAGAATAAGATTATATCTTCAACTTGTAAAATTCTATAAATTTAGAATTAAACATCTTCAAAATGGTACGGTAAAAGTCAATGAAATTTTTTCTACATATTGATATTAATTTTTGTATTGCATACGTATTATAGACTTGTTTATATTTCATCTAACACGAGGACCTCCTTAATAAATTTGTTGAGTTAAATTGTCTTAGTTAAATTAATATACATATTGAATAGGAATAGTGACGAATAGAGAACTACAGAAATTATTAAATAACTCAAATTGGATATAATTGGATTTAACATTATGAATTTAACAGTACTGGAAACGGAAGCGTGCTTAGTTAGGTCTGGACTATTGCAAATATGTAGCATTGATTTCAAATTGCACCAGTCCCGGCCTGATTGAGTACGCGAGAAACAACGCCGCTCTCACTTACTATACACTATATGAAGATCCTGGGTAAGTCTAATAACGTGACGTTTTATGTAGATAGCATGGTACATGGAATGTTACGCGAGTTTCGAAATAAATGTAATATCCTCTGGCGTATTTTTAAAACGTCAGAAGCTGAATAAGGAGAGATTGGATCGTACTATTGTATGCTTATTATAAAACGGCAAAAAGTTGATTAGAACTGTTCAGAATTCCATCCCCTGTAATTGAAGATGCCGCTGCTCTTTGTTCTGGCATCAGGATAAAGAAAAAAAGATTCGATCCCCAGCGATAGTCGTCATGTACAGCCGGTTACAGAAAGGTTGCAACACTTTTCTTTCGATGATTTTTAGAATACAGCTTGCTCGCCGAATGTCCAAGCAGAACAACAAGTCACGATAGCGTCAAAATGACATTAAAATGAATCAGAAATGATTGAAAAATGACTTTTAATGATTATTTTAAAGTCATTTTGACACCATTTTAATATCATAATGACCTGTTGTTCTGCTTCGGTGGATTGGTTCTTATCTTATGGATCTAACTTTACATTCAACCGTTCTACGGTTACAAGGCTGAGTTCTGAAATCCATAAAAAGTGTTGAAACCTTTCTGTGACCGGCTGTACTAACTATGCATCATATACGGGGGAACGCGCATCCGGTCGTGCGTTGGAAAGTCGTCGGAGTAAAAGCACATGTCTTTCTCACACCATATATCGCAAGTGTAAGCCAGGCGTACATCGTCCAGGTCGATAAGACGCCTTTTCTGCGAAACAAGATACGAATAATTCGAATTGCCACTCAGCAGTGCGCAGTATTATATTTCCGGATGTTGTTAATCTTAGATAAGGTCGTGTTTATTTCGAATATGATAACTATTATTATACGTTTATACGAGCTACTGATTTGATACAGAGACGCAATATTTATTCGCACTTTCTATTTGCAGTCTGAGTTACTTTGGTACAAGCAAAATTTCACTTTCAACTTTCTGAAATAAAGAGAAAAATAGAGTCCGATTTCTTTATTGCTAAGTTATATTTTTTTCAATACATTTTCATTTTGTCTTATTTTTACTGAATTTTTAACGAATAAATGTTTTAACATTTGAGTTAAAAATAATTTGATAATGTAATATAGATGTTGAAAAATAATCCTACATTTTTTTCACGTTTTTTGTAAGCCTAAAACTACAAAAAAAATTAGAACTGAACAAAAAAGATCCAGGTTACAGTCCGCGGAGGGTTAATAATAAATTAATAGGATTGGCCATAAAAGGATTAATTAAAGATTAATTACAAGTTACTAATAAAAGAATTAATAAATTTTGTTGTATTTTTTTGTTTCAGTGAGAATGAATTTCTCGAGACACTCACGATTCTTAAGCCGAATTCCAACATCGCCCGAAAGCTGCACAAGGCTATGATAAAGGAGCTATACAGCAGCATGAACAATGATCTTGAGGATATATTAAAGGAAGGCAGTTTGCAGGAAAGCTTTACTAAAATAGCCAAATTGTCCGAGGAGAACACGTCCGCTAACGAACATGCGTGGTAGATGATAAGTTCGTTAGAAAATCGTTTCGTGATTGCAGCTCAATGTAATCTCTTATTTGAGAATCATCGTCTGATTGCAGGCGTCCACCGGGAGATGTAACCTCGCATTTGAGATCGTTGGACGCGCACATAATCAAAGAGGCGACTAAGGAATTGGAGGAACAGGTGAACGAAATGGAAAGGGAGAACGAAACCTTAATGAGGACAATCGCGGAGAGTAGATCGAGAATACGTGCCACGAACGACAACGTGATGAGAATTCTGAATTGCGCGCCAGACGTACTGCAACGATTAGAGAAAACGTGTGAACAGCTGACGACTTGTCTTAAAACGATCGAAAATGAGTAGCTCTGCGATGGATCCCGGAAGCTCGCTGTATATAATGTGTATATAATGTATTTTTATTAAAGATAATAGGTTCTATTAAAAATACTTCTATCAAATAACAATAGCGAAAAATATATTTATTAATTAGATATATGTTAATTATATATATATATATATATATATATATATATATAAAATATATATATATAA